GTCATCAAAACTCTCACCGAAAGAGCCAGAAGAATCTGCGAACCAGCCGAGTTAGAGAGAGAATTAAAACACCTGGAAAGGGCCTTTGGTTGGAAAGGATACAGTAAGAAAGATTTTAATAGAGCAATTCGACCAAAAAACAGTGAATATCGCTCGGAGACAACAGAGACGCATGATGAGCGTAAGAGTTGGGCTTGCCTCCCGTACATACACGGAGTCACGGACAGGATCGGCAAGATACTGGAGAAACACCCAGTAAAAACCATTTTTAAACCAACTCGAACCATCCAACAGACTTTTAGATCGGCCAAGGACAAACGGGATCCTTTATCACCACCAGGAGTCAACAGAGTTCTGTGCAGCTGTCGAAGAGCATACATCGGCACCACAAAATGAAGCATAAACACTAGGATCACGGAGCACAAACGAAGTTGCAGATTGGGACAAACGGAAAAATCAGCAGTAGCGGAGCACGCACTGCTAGACGACCACCAAATAGGCTTCGACGAAGTGAACATTCTGCACCAATCTGAAAGATACTCCCCGAGACTCACCAGAGAGGCCATCGAAATATTTAAACACCAAAACAATTTGAACAGAAAAGAAGAAATTACGGCACTCAATCCTGATTGGAAGCGCGTTTTGCGCCAAACAGCATGTGCGCCGAAGCGTTGGAATCCCCACCCATCCCCCACGCATGAGCACACACGGCTGGGCTGCATAAATACGACGGGGAATCGAGCAGTTGAATCTCCTGCGGACACAGTCTAAGAAGAAGACGTAAACCCGATGCGATGACCAGTTCCTGCACCACATCAAGCAAGAGAGGCTGTTAGGTTTAGGTTTAGATTAGGTTAATTTAGATTAAGTAATATGATGATATATCATAAGATACATAGAGTGTTAGACACTTTAACGATGTTAGCACTAAGGATCCGTAGAATAAGTAGCAGTAAGAAGTTTGTAAACTTAACTGAAAATAAATATGTTCAAATTGAGCAGTTGAATCAGTCTTAGTCGGAAAGCACGGGAGATCATTTCGCCCACTGCCTCATTGCCTTTGATAATGTCCACCGCAGTTGTGGACGAAACGTCAGGAAGAAATTCCCATAGACCACGGCTTCAAAGCCCGGAAAACATTCCTAAATGTGAATATTGAGACAATGGTTTGTGTGCGATTTCCGGCTGTGGAACATTGTTTATAAACAATTATTTATACATAATTAATGAAAGTGCGAAAGCCCGTTTTTGTGCATAACTGTTGTACCGTTGATGCTATTGAAAAACTTTTATTCTTTTTTTCAAGTATTAAAAATACCTATACTACATAAAACCATAAACTACATTAAAATCCGTTCATCAGTTTACTCAAAAATAGCAAAAAACCGTCGATTTCAGCGTTTTGTTGATTTCCTATAACTAGTTTAATTTTGTTTCAAGAAAATCGTACCATAACTTTTTTTGGTCACTCAGTAATGAAATTTTCATTTATTGCACGTTGTAGTATAACTCTTTGCGAGTAAAATACAGCCTCAGAGAAGTATCTCCGACGTCTCATGGAAAATGTATTTAGAATCTGGCAAGAGCCCTTTTTACATAACAAATAGGAATTAACAAAAAGCTATGAATACTTGAAACTAAAATTTATACCACTTTCAAAAAAAGTTAGAGTGAGATTTTTTGAAGCAAAACCAAATTGAACTTAATTTGAACACAAAAAAAAGTGACCACATTTTTTTCTTTCCCACTTAAGGGAAGCAAAATGTGAAAAATCTTCTATTTTTATGTTAATCACTGAGTACAATTCATCTTATCGCTTAATGAAAAATTGGCCATTTAATACTTCAGCTATGTTTGATATAAACAAGTATTGAAACAAGTCCAGACTAGGTAAATAGCGCCTATACAAATTTAAATGTAGTTCATCTACTGCTCCACTGGGCAGATGCAACAAATGCTATTTTATTTCAGAAGCACTGCTATCGGTCGAAAAAGAACAAGTTCCAACGATAAGGAACAGCTCAGAATTCCGAAAAAGCAGTCAGTCAGTCACAATCTGTGACTCACAGGCGTGGTCACATTAAAGAAAATACTGTTACTGCTGTTCCCAATATTTTCTGTTCATTGAATATTGCTATTTGCCGAATCATGGGTGCATGGATTCGAAAATCATCAGGTCCCTCGTCCCACTCTTATACATACAAAACCTTACCACTTCACGAGAATTAAATATCTCCTTTCACTAAAACTCAGGCCAATTGACAACGTCGCGGGGAATCCAAAGGCACAAAGGCAGGTATTTGCATTTTTGCTTTGTTGAAATATTGAAATCCCAGATGGCATTGACCAGCATCGTAGGCGAGCCCTGTTATTTCAAATCACGTTATTTTAAATATCGATAGCAGGTACCGGCTGTTCCAAAATACCTGTGAGATGTATTTCGTGTCATCCCTACTTAACATCTGTATAATCACACAAAATTATTGTCACAAGACCCCTGTATGCGTTAAATCATGTTCGAAAAACTGCACCTTGATAAAAAATAAATAAAGTTACAGGTGCTAGTTGTGGACGGAAGCATCCTGCTAGCTACGAGGGGTGTGAGGTACTCAACCAGCTGCAGCAAAAACTTTTCCCTGTTTTGACGGAAAAAGTCCCGTAACTTATAATTTAATTATAATAATTTACCAAATTATCTAACTCGGCAAAATAACTCTGATGCAAAGGCTGCATCTCAAGGTCTCTACCTAACAAGAACTGCCATACTAACTTCTGATGAAGCCAATAACGTTGTAATAATGATTCAGTTAATGTCCAGAATGGAAATMATTGCAAATCTTTTCACATGCCCTCTAAACAGACTGTCACTATGAACAGGTTATCTCAAAGAACCCACRAACTTAACCTCTTCCTTATCAACCATGTMATAGATGTCATGATGATTTTTGAAACTTATTTCACGCTACAAGACAATTTCACACTACAACGTCTACAGCACCAATCATCCACATGGAAAAGGACACGGTGGCACTGCAATWTTGGTGAAGTCMAGGATTACGCAYTGTTGGAAACACTATCCAACATATTTTTGTCATCATGGTTCAAATKCCACGCTTGGAAACCGAGACACAAAAAAATTGTCTYCYGTCAAATTTAATTCGGACSASTACCGTTTCCGTTTCCGGATAAAAAAAGTCAGTCATCCGTCACGCTGGTTAACCGCCTATTATAAAKAGTTATATTAAACTGCTGACAGGAAGAGAATTGATGATTTTAAATTTTGCAGGAGCAAGGAGGAGACACATTTAAATTTTGAGCGAGATCAAKMCAGTGMAGASAMTCTCYWGMGACMRMGACAGTCTAGACAGTCATCTATGAMGTATGTAGGTAGGTATTTTGAAATTCCTTGGACAAATCTCCCGAGACGACTACATGTAGTCAAGAYATATGACGTTTCGAWTTCAGAAAATGAACAGTTGRTCCACCCGTTATAAAAAGTAGAGTTTTCGAYAATTTCCACACTAATATGTGTATACTACTAATAATATAATAGACCTTAACTAAGCAAATTTAGCTTCTTTCGTAGACCCCTCCGATCGTTGTGCACTATTAAAATGTATTTGTATTTGAGATTTAAAGTTATTTACCTTCAGGGTTACAGGTTTCGAGCAATAGGTCCGGCCAGTTACATCCGTGAATTTTTTCATCATAGACCAAGCCAGGTTCACAGGCTTGAGGATGAGGCTCTCCATAAGCACACTTAATGTAATTAGTTGAACATTCATGGGAGTCTGGGTAGATACCGAACTGATATTCGCATCCGGGGGTGCTGATTGGAGTTACTAAAAAAATAATTTACAATTATATTAAAAGTAAAGACCCTTATCCCATAATGATACAATTTGGTAGTGGTATCGCAAGATTCTCAGTGTCAAACGCTTTGGCTAGATCAAGGAGCGTAACGATTGTTGGTGTACTCGTATCAAGATTATTAAACTATTCGAATCTCCAGTAAAATGTTGTGGTTACCATTTGAAATTCTCAAGTTGGCCCCTGCCTAGCCTACAAGGCCGAAATAGGCGTTGCTTTTCTTACACGAATAAACTTTCCCCTCCCAGAGGGGAAACTTCTTATTTGAAACATTTTTTCCACCGATCACGCGTTGCGGAAATATTTAAGTGTTTCGAGAAAAAAAACCACCTTGTATATGAAGGGTACAGGCTAAGAAAGGGGAACGACAATTTTTTCTAATTTTGAGCCGTTCAGTCCGTTCGATTCTAAACACACAGAATTATCATCAAGTAACAGATATCGATAATTTAAATTACGCTGTACTGGCTAAAAAGGAGGCGAGTCCGCCCGCCACATGCTAAGAAGGCGGAACGTCATAAATGCGTGTTATTCTTAGAAGCGGCTAATTGTAGCCCCTTTGGAATACAACGTTGCCAGTCTCTAATGTTATGTCAGATGTCAAATCATAAACAGGTGAGGTTAGAACTGTTAAAAGTGGGAAGTGAAGTAGTGGGGTGTACTTCTTTACCCACATTTCTAGACCATGCCTTAGAATTTATTTTTCTCTTTCTCGTTTTTTCGTCCACTGCACTTATGCTTCTTTCCTTCCCTTTTTTCTGATAAGTGCTTGGCACTTCATTGTTAATGGGTTCTATTTCGGCGCTTGACCCTGCATTGCTGATTGTTTCTATTTCGGGAGTCTTTATTGCAATGTTGTTCCATTTAATGTTTCCTGAATTTCAATCCTTGTGTGGGGTTGTTAGTCCTCCTACACTCCTACACCCTACCATACAACCAGTCGAAGTACCGTATGAAGCAGTGGATCGTTTGCGCATCTTTCATCTTGTATAATACAACAAGCAAAGGAAAAAGATATCGAGATTCCTAATTAGAGTATCTTTGCTTTCGTTCGTTGTTATATATAAATTTTGGAACCGAAATAAACCGAAAAAAAAACCGGAACCGGAACGGAACCGAAATGGAAATTATTTTCTAAACCGTAACCGTAAAGGAACCGAAATTTTAAATTTTGCCTTGGACCGAAACCGGAACGGAATAGTTATTTCGTTTTGGTTCGGGTCCTTGGTATTTAGGCAGTATACTGTTTTTACAATTCTTGAAGGATTCTGCTCGGAAAATATTTATCAAAAATTAAATAAATTAAATGTTATTTGGACACTTCAACGCAATTGAACGTTTTAATCTCGTTTTGTAACGTTCGTTTTTCGTGTCTCGTAACTCTGGTGATTTCGACGAAAACACATTTTGTTTGAGTGCCTGACGAAAACAAAATGGTAAACTGTCTAGATAAATCATCCTTATCGTTATTTTTAAATAAAACAATAAAAGAAAAATATTTTAAATTAGGAGAAAGTGTTCGCGCTCTCTATAGCTCCACTTTAATGGCTTTCCATGGCTTTAAATAGCTTTTCATTTTATTATTTTTTAAGTATCTGTCTTATAAAGGGAAAACGACAAATTTTAATTGCATTCTTTTCACAATTTGGGTACCCTCAATACTAGCACATACAACTTATATTAGGTCTGTCACGTGTTATCTTATATATTTTGTGTCTTCTCAAATGCCACAACAGTTAATTTGTTTTTGAAGCATTAGGTGTAAAAAACACATACTCTGTTCCCTTTAATACTTACGATCAGCTTTTCTTTCTCCGCAGTGTACAGCCCAATTGTAGTTGCAGTGATTGTGAACTGCGCCCTTGCCATCAAACAGTAATCCATTTTCACAGGTTTCCACTGTCAAAGTCCCATTAGTGCAAAGGAAAAAAATATTACAAGCTTCTGGATGGGCATAAGCTTGAACACCATGTTGTTCTGGGCATTGCGGGGCGTCTTGGACAAACACGCCAGCACTAGCTGAAAAACGATATAATTTCATATTACTGCATACTTACTTTACCAATATAAAATTTAAAAAATGATAAGCAAATTACCATTTTGTTGTTGAGAGAAGTCTACGCACCTGTAGATTACAATAAATCTACTTTGTTATCACACCTAATCAACTCTTTCCGAAAGGTGGAACAATGCTTCAGTAGCAACTAGCAGGCTGTTCTACCCACTTCTAATTATGCACAAGCTGCTTTCTTGTACCATTGTTGAATACATTAACATAATTCAATACCGCGAAATAATCAATAAATTGCTTCCAATCCATTATGTCGACCATAATATTCACCATAAAAGAAATTTGATTAAT